GATCTCTGAAACTGTCGCAGGTGAGAAGCGAGAGCGGAATTCGGTCTCCGGAGCTGCGCATGCGCGCCGAAGTGATCACGGTGGAGAGCGAGAGTTTGGGGAGCTTGAGCGACTGCGACACGGAGCCGAGCACCTACGCCACGTGCTGCTCCGAATGCGAGCGCTCCGAGGACCAGAACCCGACCACCATCCCCGCGCACCCCAACAACCTCCCCCGCCGCCCACGCAACGACACCCCCCACCTCGACGGCGACCACGGCCCCGACACCAATAACAACAAGGATCCCGGGAAGCGAGGGGCGGAGCGTAGGGAGCGGACCCAGGAGAGCCGGCTCCACGAAGCCATGAACTACCAGGTCAAGACCAATCCAAAATCAGGTATGTTTCTTGTAGATCCACGTCCGCCATTGGCTCGCTTAGGGCGGCAATAGGGCTGTTGAAAAGATAGTATTCGAAGAGAGGAAACTCGGGTTGGTATGCTGCTACACTGAAAAAAAACCACATTGGATCTAGAGCCCAGAACTCTAGACTCTTAAAAACATCGACAAGAAAATATACTCTTGATTCAATCGGATTTTTGCTTGAATCAAGAACCAAGCCTCTTAATTTGAGCGGATTTCCTTTAGATTTAAGCTTAAATCTGATTGAATCAAGAGTATTTTTTCTTGTCTATGTTTTCAAGCGTCTGGACTCTAGATCCAATATGTTTTTTTATTTTTCCAGTGTGCATAAAGCCATTTAGTACACACAGAGAAAAAAAATGGCGAAGACTAAATTGCTAGACTATGTTTGATTTTCAGAAAATTTAGTAGCCAGTGCTTCATTCTTGGTGTCGGTTAATATGTCTCTTGTTGAGTGACTAGGCATCTGTTACGAGGTTAAATTCCTAAAGATCATATGGATCGTATTTAGCAAAATGGAACCAGCGCGATTACAGTGTTGTTAAACTGTTGCTTCTTCATAAGTATCTAAAACGTCTCTCATAATAGCGAATAGTTTTGGCTTTCCACCAAAAAGTGTTAATTTTAAAGAGAAATAATTGTATGAATTGTATTACTGTACTTTTATAAAGTATTATAAAAGAAAAGGAGAAGTTGCACGATTCTGAAAATACTGTAATCGCGTTGGTTCTTTTGTGCTGAATGCGATCCATATATGGAAAACAAAACGGTAACAAATATTATTCTAATCCATCGATGCAGGAATCAAGCGTCAATTCCTTTATTCTACTTTTTCCCTTCAAATTGTGAGTGAATTTTTAGGACAGAGATTATCCAATTATAAGTTGTAACGTTTTCACACATTCATTTTTCTGACCTCAGAGATTTAGGACGGATGGATTATAAAAATTTTTACTGTTTTTCTCAAACTCTCAACTGTAGCGCTGAAGTCTTTTTGAGAATGACCATCTTGGTCATCATAACAGATCTTGATGGAATTAAACTGGATGAGTGGGCATGTAACTTAATAATGGCGTATCGTTATGCATGAGCGTCTTCTTATCTCTTAAAATTTGAAATCTGGGAGACTCCTCTCAAAAAAAGCAAAATAGTGAAATTTAAGTAGAACAAAGGGGGTAAAAATTAAAAACTCAACAATACCTCAATAAATTAAAATTCCGTGCTAGACGCGTTTTGAGGCCGTCGCAGCTCAGTAGTGCAACACATTTAATCCATGAAATAAGTAGCTAATACATTCTCATGTTTCAGGTAAAAAGCTCGAGGGTGAGGAGATGCACATCAAAATCACGGAGACGAAAGAAAACATCAAGGCTATCACAACCATCCATCTCTTCCACACGCCCGACCATTCCTCGGAGATCGAGGGCAACGTCAGCCGCAAGAAGAGACTCTTCACGCCGAACAAAAAACCGACCGAGACCGGAAGCGGCGGCAAGTACCGGAAACTGTTCTACGAGCTCCCGGATACGTCAACCGGTACACATTTCGCGGAAGAGGAGTTCGTGTACGAACCCCGCTTCCGCACGACCACCACGAAGCTGGTCATGAAGGCGCGGAGCATGATCAACCTCAACGACGAGGACCAAGCGAACGGGGAGTACATGGCCGCTGCAAGCCCGGATCGCACATCGGGGGTGAGGAGTTCGAAAAGCTTCCGGGATATCCAGCGGCACAAGTCAGAGCCGGATCTGGACGCCATCCGAACCGCGAGAGAGAGCGCCAAGCGTTTCGATTTCAAGGACGCCGGTCACTGCCAGCACTTGCACTCGGAGTCAAGCGATCGGGTGGCAGCGGAGAATATGAAAAACCTCGCAAAAGACGAGAATAGAAACATATTAAACCTTACGGACCATTCACGTAGCGGGACGAACACGAACCATCCGGCCCGAGGGACCAAAACCTACGATTTCGCCCGGGGCGCGTCGACGCTCCCGAAGGCTCGAGCTGACGAGACCAGATCCGGAGAGTGCTGGATCACCGGAGCGACCTTCAAAACCCCGACAGAGGTCAAGCCTGAGAATTTCCATTGGGGCACGTGTCCCCGCCGCGATAGGTTCTGCTTCTACTACCCGCGGAAACGCAACCGGGAGATAATCGACGACGAGCTGCCCGATCCGGACAAAGTCAAGGACATACGGAAGAAGTTCGAGCAGACCATCAAAACGGAGCACGCGAGCCAGACGTCGCCGAGACCCCCGTGCGGGAACCGGAAGAGCCACTTCAACACGTGGTCGCCGACGTACCACACGTACCCGACCGTCGAGATCACGCAGAAGAGTCACAAGCTCTCGGAGTCTCCCAAGTACCGCTACTGGTCGGACACGACGAGCGTCTCGTCCGGAGTAGCCAGCGATTTCAGCTGCGAAACAGACTCGGAGTCTAGTCCCAGGGCGGAGACGCTCGACACCTACCACAGGAGCGAGTCGGATCCCGGACAGCCCGTCTCCGCCGACACGCTGAAGAAGATCCGGGCGTGCGGGACGTCGACGACCTACTACGGCGGCCGCGTCATCGCCTGCGACAAAGGGACCGTCCGGAGCCCCATGACGATGACCATCATGGACGAGATCAGGCAGAACATCAAGGATAACGAGGTTAACCTCCAGTTGGGCATCAAGTCGCTCCAGAACAAATACAGCGGCATGAAGTTCAAGCTTGTCAAAAGCAACAGCTGCGGCAGCAGGTTGGAACTGACAGGCACCAATGCGAGCAGGCTCCGGAGGCAAAACCAACAGGAGAAGAGATTAGAAAGGCTAGAGAGCGTAAGTGAGAACGACCTAACGAATCCCGGTCACGAGCGGAAGGAAAACACAACGCACTATCCGCCTGAAGACACCAATTTAGACAAGAGATCTTGTTCGGAGTGTAGCTTACCCCAGGAAAGAAAGCAAGACGTAGTTGAAGAGTCTTTCAAGTGTAGCATACTTCAAGAGAATCAACAAGACGCAGCTGAGGAGTCCCCCCCGAAGTGCAGTTTACCCCAGGAGAGGGAACAAGAAGTTCCTGAGGAGTCTCATTACCATTCGGATTACAATTCGATCTGTCTCATTGAGAACGGCGAGGTCCAGACCTCGGCTCAGCCGGGCGATCTGAGGGATTTCATCCGGGCCAAAGGGCAGAGCACGAGGGACATCGTGAAAGCCTTCGAGTCGGCGGCCCACAAGGAGGAGACGCCAACTGCGCCTTGGAGGAGCCTCGTGGAGTCCCGACGGCAGGCCAACCGAATGGCAGAAGTCAAACGCGCTCCTCTCTTCGACGAGATGGAGTTCGAGGAATTCGAGGTCCTCGACGAGTCAGCTGCCAGAATGAACGCGAACCAAAGCAGTCCGCCCGTCGTCATAGAACAAAGCTCGTGATAACAGAGCGATAAGTTCCTTTTGAAGTTTAAGACGAATGCTGCCGTGCTAGGGAAAAACACCATAAGAACTATCAGGCGTTGCCAAATTTCCTTTTAATAAAACACGAATTTCCTGATGAACTAATGAATATTTTCCTTCACATTTTTCCGACAATTTTGTTCGCAATTTCATCTCCAGTTCCTGAAAATTTCAAGGAAAAATATTTCCAACACCACTCAGAAATAAACATTTTATCGAATGAAATTTGGCAACTCTCGAATGCTCATACTCCGTTCTTCCTCAGCACGGTAGAATGGATCAGTTAAGCTCGTCACAGAATCGTGACTTGATGGTTGGTTCATGTTGATTGGCTGAAAATAAAAAGATCTGTCCGAACAGCACCTTTCTACTTTCAATATTAACCGAGATATCGCGCTTAGAAAAATTTGGTTTATGACGTCATTCACCGCGGTTATGCATAGCATGATCTTTTCCGCCTTGGACTCATCAACCGGTGACACACACACTTGCACTGGTCACTTAACATGAAACTCAAATGAAAGCAAGGTGGAAGAAACCAAGGGTGTCACTACTGCGGCGGATGACGTCATTAACCGAATTTTTCAAAGCGCGATAACTCGGTTAAAATTAAGAGTTGCTGTTTGGACAGATCTTATTATTTTTAGCACTTCTGCAAGAATCAAGTGTCGAAACACCATTCTGTGCCTGGCGCAACTGACCCATTCTGAAAATAAGCAAGTCAGATCTGAAGTCCCTTTGTATTGAGATTTATAAGAGATGTGAGATTCATTTTTCATTGGCTCTCAATTTAGACTCTGTACTTCCGTTGTTTCACTAACTGCCAGAATGATTACATATACACATACTGGTTGCAAATATTGTGAACTAAATATACCGAAGAACTAGGAGAACATACAAGAATGAGAGGAGGAACAGAAAAGAGGGATTTGGAAAAGAGTTCATCAAGGATTACGATACAAACTACACACTGTGTAATCTTCCTGTCGGTTTGCGACATCTGAGCTGAGATGTCTTCACTCAAAGGTACTCTGGTCAATTTTTCCAAGAGTAGGTGCGTAACAATATAAGATGATTCTACTACAAACGAACGTTGCCAAGTTGCAAAACACCCAGTCAATCGAGTACTTGCAGGAGTCTGAAATTTGCATACAGTTTTACTCCATTCTTGTTGGTGTCCTATCTTTTGACCACACATAAACTCTGTATATGCATTTAAACACTATCCGATTCTTTGCCATACAAGTTTGAGTCTCAGGTTTCAGTCACCATTTATGTTGCATCATGTACCTATTTGTCCAAAATTGCTGCTCGTAAAACGGTTGGAACCGACTGAAAATTGTTTTGAAAGAATTTGGGAATAGAAGGAGATGAATGAGAGATGTACAGAGCTGTGCCACTCACAATAAGTTCGGAATGAAAAAGAGTTTAAATGGTCTAAAATTTAAAATAACTTTAAGTCATACTAAATCAGATTTGTGAATAGCTAGGTGGAGTCGGTAAATCAAAAGGTCCTCTGAAAATATTCCGTCTTCGAAAGGGAAACGTTTCCGCAACTTCATTCACTTCGTTCATTCTCTCGAAGTTCACAGTATGCGTAGTCTTAATTGACTAAAATCATGCGGATTGAGATCCTCTCAAAACTTCTGATGTATGTTGTAGACCTGCTTACTTTCGGAAAAATTAAGACTCTTTTGACATTTTGTAATGTTTATGAATTCAATTGTTGTTATTAATTTTAAAAAGATGAAGCGTTGAATTGCGCGTGCGCATATTTCAATTGAAATACATTTTGCAATAAGGAACCACTAATTCTGGCTCTCTCATAAAAGCACATACCTGCATTTGGAAGAAGCCAATGGTATGTATGCTGTTTCTGAAATGGGCCAGAATTAGTGGTTCCTTTCTGCAAAATGTTATCCAATTTAGCTGTTAACTTGTTAATGCTTATAAGTTTATGAATTTGTTCTGATTTTAAAGTATAAGGAATGAAAATAAAAAAATAAATAAAAATTAAAGTGTTAGTAATTATATTTGTAGCTAGTTCATGCTGAGCTAGAAGTAAACATGGAATGATCATAAAATGGAGGAGAGCTGGTAATTATAAACATTCATTGCTAGGGTATTCAAAATAAGTATTAGGTCAATTGCAAAGTCTATACTGGAAAAAAAAACAAATTGGATGTAGAGTCCAGACTCTTAAAAACATCGACAAGAAAAAATGCTCTTGATTCGATCGGATTTTTGCTTAAATCAAGAACAAAGCCTCTTAATTTGAGCGGATTTCCTTTATATTTAAGCAAAAATCTAATTGAATCAAGAGTATTTTTTCATGTCAACGTTTTCAAGAGTCTGGACTCTAGATCCGAAGTGTTTTTTTCCAGTGTAGAGGATTCAATAAAACTAGTATGAAAAATATTCGATGATTTGAAACGCTGAAATAGTCCCGAGTTTTAATGGAGCCCTTGCAATAGATGGAAGTTTACATTTGCGGAATGATTAAAAGCTTAAGCATTTCGATAAGCTTGGCGGGAAGGCGGCAAGAAGTTGGAACTTTAATTGCAGCTGTTTTGGGAAACTAAGAATGACGACTGAGTCGAGTCATTTTAAATTGCGTATAGAACTAGGACCACGACTGTCAAATTTCATCTCAAATGTTGAATAAAGTTCAACTAAAGTTTCGAATTCAAATCGAAGTTATTATCATACTACGTAAAAGATTTGCACTAAATTTTCCAATGAGAGATTATAATTTCTGACTAAACCATAAAATCACCTATTTGTGGAACTAATTTTTAAAATTTGGAAACTAATGGCGCACAGTTGCACCTAAAATGAGCCAGCAATCGAAGTTTCATGATGCAAAATCAAGATATTTTAGCTGCAATACATAACAACACTGGGAAAAAAAACGCATTGGATCTAGAAGCCCAGACTCTTAAAAACATCGACAAGAGAAAGTACTCTTGATTCAATCAGAATCTAGCTTCAATCAAGAACCAAGCCTCTTAATTTAAGCGGATTTCGTTTTGATTCAAGCAAAAATCCGATTGAATCAAGAGTATTTTTTCTTAATTGTCAATGTTTTCAAGAGTTTGGACTCTAGATCCAATGTGTTTTTTTTTTGTTTTTTTTCCAGTGAACTGATAACTACGGCAACATGGAAAAATCCTTTGCGTCTGCAACATTACACCGCCAATTCAATAAATAACAATATTTCATGCTCGTAATATATTTCCTGGGCGGTTTGCATTTGAGTTACGAATTTCAGAAGCATGCGAAAACTTCGAGCGCGCGGATTTCGTAAATCTTATTGTTTTGTTTTCGCTGCGCACTTCTAATGGAGCTCCCGCAGTAATGTTCTCCTCCAAGCCATTCAGCCATATCTCCCATAAGAAAATTGAACGAGAACAAATAAATTAACGAACAATGAATTAAGGACATTTTTTCATCTTCAGAAACTTTGGATTCTAACAAAGAGTCTTGGCAGTAGTCAAATCGCAATCTTGCTCTTATTTTCAACTGATGTTTGTTAAAATAAAACGAACTTCAAATTGGGATTATTGCTTGTTTACCACAGATAAAATAAATGATATACGATTTTCTTAATTCTAAAGATATAATTTCGACTTGAGTATTGTCTTCCCATACGAGGAGTAGATAGACATCATTGAGGGAAGTCGTAGAAACCCGCGCTCGCTTCTGATTAGTGCCGGATAACATCATTCGGTTCGGCGCGAAACCGGGGCGTTTTGAATTTGCGGATAAGTTGAGCGATTTGAACTGCATATTTCTCGGTTGTAGAGTTACTTTTTTTTGCGTTTTCAATGTGCGCATCGTGTTCTACGCGCCATTTACCTTTGGAATGATGAATTCGCAAGTCAAAATTCGTTCATAGCTCAGTGACCCATTTCCGGAGGTCCTGGTGAATTTGTTCTAATCTGCGCAAAAATCCGTGATTTTACCATAGGATTTTCGATTTTGATCATTGATGGGAATTCCTCACAGAATTCGGACAAGATATCTGACTGAGACCCGACAACTACGTTCGGAAGCGGGAGACGATATTTTGAGACAGCGTCACTCTAGCTGCAAGTAAACTTGACTGACGTAGGTATTTACATTTCCAGGAGGGCAAATAGAGTCTCAAAAGCTGCAATGGCCCCTCAAAAAGCACGATCGAAACGACTCCACGCCCACGCGGGCAGTCGCAGGAGTGGATGACATCTGAACCCACATATTTGTAACAGGAACACTTCTGAAAGTATATATATTATTCAAAAGCGAGAAAAAAACCCTTCAACCACCGCGTTTGTCAAAAACGGCAATTGAGTGATGATTGATAAGCATGCTTAATCGCACGCTTCGTTCGACGATGCCTACGCTAGGAAAAATGTTCGTTTTCTTGTGTCGTATGAACATTCGCGAGTTGCCAAATTTACTTCAATAAAATGTTAATTTTAGAGGAAAGTTATGAATGTTTTTCCTTGAAATTTTCAGGAACTCTGGCTAAAATTGCAAACAACAATATCTGAATATATTAGTGGAAAAATATTCATAATAAGTTCATCGGGAAATTAGTGTTATAATAATGAAAATTGGGCATTATTTATAGATTACAATTACAGAGCTTCATACGGCGTTTTTCCTTAGTGCGGCAATATTATTCTTGGTTTGTGTTAGTGTTGGAAGTGGCACACAAACCAACCGAAATTTCGTGTTGATTTTTGTGCAGTTCGTGTTGAATTCAGCACAGAAAACAGTGAAAAGCCCGGTAAATCGCAGAGTCAACCAGAGGTATGGATTACCTCCAGTGGCGAAGCGTGAATAATTGATTATCGATGTTTCGATGTTTGTATCGATGAGCTATGGTGAATGATACACATTATTGAAAAAATAATTGCTTCAGTTACGAAGAGCTTCAATCTCACATCAGTATTGCGATTTTGGAAAATGAGAAATTTACTCATAGCGGCAGTTAAATCGATTTATATATCTGAATTATTTGGCAAAAAGTTTAAGCGATAGAAGATGCAGAATGCAGAGTTGAACGATGGTTTGGTTCCTAACTCTAATCTCTGACTACGACACTCGCTTTCCGTGCCGTGAACTGACCAAAAAACCTATCCTGCACAATGCATGTCAATACATACAAGCGCTTTGTTAAATCCAAATGGTGGATCTATAAGCATTAAAATTATACAGGGTTATTCAAAAGTCACGCACCACTGGGCATGAGGGGGTTGGCCATTTGAAATTTTTGAGTTGCCCCCCGCACCCCTCCCTCCCCCCGATGGAATCAAAAACTGGAAAGTACCTAAAAAATTTTCCTCACAATACGAGGAAAAACGTCTTAAACGACAAGTCAATATCATAATTAGGACTAAAGTTATGGCCAGTGGTGCGTGACTTTTGAATGACCCTGTATAAGTGGATATTAGTGTGAATTGGCACGTACCATTTTTGCTAGGCTGGACGGATTCTATGGCGGGCTGAGGTTCCGAGGGTGAATTGGAGGGGGTGGATCCACTTCCACCGACTGTGCTTACGCTTCGACAGTGCTGACAACATTCCTGAAATAGAAAAAAACACACTATATTATAAAAAAACTTGGTGCTAAAGGTATGTACTTTGAAAGGGACCTCATAAATCATCGGGAATTCACGTGCGATTGAAGTATGATGTGGATTACGTTGGGCCTTGTCTCCACGGGTCGTTTTCATGGGATTTGTCCCAAGTTCGAATCGCAGGAATGAAACTTCTGGGATTTTTCCCAGTTACCGTCTCCACGGGACGGGGCTTATACAGTCCTGCGACTAGTTTGCGCGGGAAGATAAATTAGTTAAAGTCGAGTATTTAACCGGAATTAAAATAATAATTGCACTCAATTGGCAATATAGACACATTATCTTCTAAAACTATAAAGGAGAGGCCCCAATTTTGTACCCAATGTTTCAGCGACTTCCCGGAGGCGGATTTCCTTGAAACTTTCTACGCATGTGCGGTTCGTGCTGAAGGGGTGCAATTCGTCGTCCGATTTTCGAAATTTTGAGTCTAAGGGTTGAAAACACGCTAAAAAAGGGTGACCCGTTTCCCTTTGCACAAAAGTGTTTCTTCAAATGAGCCAGAATTTATAAGTTCAAAATGCAGTCCAAATGTGAGGCTAAGAGCATTAGGCGCTGGAGCTGACGAAAGTAAGGAGTTAATAAAAAATGTAGTTGGAAAAAGAAAAGAGGAAGTACTGGCGCGCTGTTTTCTTTTTCATTATATCATGTAAAAATTCGTAAGTACATTAATATTGTCACTATATTCTTTAGAATGTTTTATATTTATTTGGCAACAATGCATTTACTTTTGAAAATTAATTTCCATGGAAGCAATCTACTTTTCAGTGAGGATTTAATTTTCAAAAAGGATTTTGCTACCATTGTTCATCAATCCGTTCGTTAGTTCGTTTGGTTGACTGTAGCTTGCGGTTATTTATTGTGAGTTGTTCATTTGACGAATTTAAAATATCATATTTCATGAGTATAGTTGAAATTTCGGAAATTAACCAATATTCCTTCGACGTGAAAGTGGTTGCACGAGTTAAGCGATTAACGGACGTTCGGAGGGCAACTAGGAGTAATTCTTCATTTTTTTATTTCGATTTGAAAGACAACTCTGGGTCCATCAAATGTGTTTGTTTTGATGCACTCTTACATGAAAAGTTCAAAGTAATTTTTTCCCCCCTATAGACTTTCCCTTTTTTTTTCTGCGTGTTTGGGCAGGAGTTACTTCATTCTCTACATTTCATGTGTGATGAAATCTAAAGTCTTTTTATTTCTTTCAAATAAAAAAAAAATTTATAAGAAAATGAAGTAAATTAAAAAAAATAAAATTTGAATAGTGCCTAAATGAACTTAACTTGTAATTATATCATTCAAAAACATACATTTTCATAAAAAAACATCGTTTATTTTTTGAAAACAATAAACTGCTATGTATGGGTTTCCTTGTGTCAGCACACAGCTTTGAAGTTTGTGGTTGTTTTTCTGCTCTGATTTACAGAAATTGATACTGAGTAGAAATTAATGGGGCATCTGTAGATTTGTTACTTGTGTTATTTTTTTTTTAAAAAAGTATCATTTAAAAAAAAAAAAAAATTCGAAATAATCCACAACCATATCCTGCAGGTCGCATAATGCTTGCGTGGTTTCAAACATAATGGTAAAAAAGTAGACATGAAAAATGATTTAATCAGGATCTTACCATCGTTCAATCATGATTATTTGCGCCTTAAATAACCGACTATGCAACGTGTTTAACAGGTAAAAATCATGATTTAATCATGACTGACCTTTTGAAGGCACAAAAAAAAATGACGATTGATGACGTCAACCGTCTAACAATCAAATTGATGTTGGTGTATCTCCTCTCAAGCGGCGTAAGTTACGTAATGATTATTTGCCTGCCGTAGATAATCCTGGAGGTGCTGGAGATAATAATGATAATAATCCCAGTGGTGCTGGTCCTTCTTCGAAAACTAAACAAACATGAACAATGTGGTAATGAATAAAATATTGCACAATTCGTTTTCACTTCTTCTTCTTCTCTCAGTGGGTCCTAGGGATACAAGTACCAATAGTACCATACTTGGTACTGGGAAAAATATTGATTAACTCAATATTAACTCAATATTTTTCCCAACTTCGTAAGTGGGATTTTTCCCTCGGACAAATCTCGTGAAACGGCTCGTGGAGACAAGGCCTTAGTAAGGCATGGAAGTCAGAGATTCCTCTCCCTTGGTTGAATTTTTCAAACGACGATTAGATTAGACGAAAAAAATTTGCCCCGGGTGAGGATCGAACTCACGACCTTAAGATTATGAGACTTACGCGCTGCCTACTGCGCTACCGAGGCGGTGAGAAACTTTCACCTTACTCAGATATTTTTAACATTGATCAAAAAACGCACATCAACGTAGCGTTGAAAAGAAAAGAGCTTCGAAGAAATAGAAATGAAAACTCAGCAATTTTAGTACAATTTAATTTCTTCAAAGCCTGATAGGAGCAACGAAAAAAGAGAAAATGAAGGGGATAAATTATAGGTATGAGCTCAAAAGTTTCCCTCGAAATGTTGAGGATCCACCTCCTGGGCATAAAAGGAAAATGGGATCAATCAGTATTAATTAAACGAACAGAACCTTAAAAAACTGCGAGTATCATCAGAAACCAGATTTAGCCGGACGCCAAACAAATATACACTTCCGGTTTTCCGGTTTTTCAAAGTCTTCTACCAAAAAGAGTTGAAAAATTTGGGAGCAATGTGTTTGAATTTCACAGAATTTCTTTCTCTGTTTTAAACAGTCAACATTAATCGATATTTTCTCCCTAATCAGACATTTTCTTTCCTTCTCACTTCCAGATATTGTTCATGCATATCGACGGTGAAACTACCAAACCACGTATCTCCTTTGCGGTGTTTAAAAATCTACGCTCGCATTTTATTTTTTTGAGGTAGACCAAATCAATATCATTCCTTGAAATTTTCACAGAATTTTCTCCGCAAGGAGGAGGAAAAATCACAGAAATTTTCACGACTGGACGTTAAGTAGTTTTTCATTTTAAAAATAAAGTATGACAGGAAGTCTGCGACGTCGCAAACCGAGATACGTGGTTTGGTAGTTTCACCGTCGATATGGAAAAGTGTACATAGATATCTTAAATGGAATCCTCTGGGATCAGCGGATTTCCAAAGATAACAAGAGAAGGATATACAACGCTGTGGTTAAAAGAATATTAACATACGGATGTGAAGTTTGGAAGTTGAAGAAATGGACACAGGATATGTTAAGATCAACGGAGATGGATTTCTGGAGGAGGTCGGCAGGGATTTCTAGGAGAGATCGGGTCCGTAACGGTCCGAAGTCAGGGTGTCTACAAAAACAGACTGTCCGGAAATCAGTATTTCTTCAGTGCTTTTTCAGTACATTCCCAAGAAATTCAGTACCTCCTCAACAGAAAAAGTCAGTACTTTTTTGGTACCTCCAATTGACGAAATTCGAAAAATTTCAATTTTTCGCTCAAATTGCGAGAAAAATGAAACAAATTGCGGACCTATTTGCGGAATTTCCGCACTTTTCCAGCATTTTCGTACAGCCCTTAAAAAATCAGTACCATTTCCGGACTTGTAGACACCCTGGAAGTAAATGAATATTCATTAGAGGCGCTTCACGTTTCGTGGCCGAACTGTCTCAAGACTTTGACTGATATAATTCCAGAAAAACCGATTCGACATGGAGAGTTGCAGGAAATCGAGAGGCTCTGCGTCAAAGACAAAGTTGGTTTTGAACTAACTAAAACTGATGAAAGAGGAACCGTTAATCAAGTGCGCATAGAAATAGAAGTTCAAATAGGATTCGATAAAGTTCCAGGCTGATTTAAACCCAACTTAACAGTGCATAGACTAACTTATTCAATTTTGCACGCCGAAATTCTGTTCCCGTCGACAGGAATATCCAATGAATACCTATTTTCGCCACAATTATGCCCACAAGGATGACTGTAGAGGTCACTTTGTTCCGACGAAATTCTGATTGTCAGATGAAGAATTTCGAAAGAGCTATCCTCAAAAAAAAAAAAAAAATCGGGAACAGAGGAGTCTCTTATTGATATACTTTATGCGAACAAAAATTATTCTATTGAGTGTTACCAAAACACTTCGTCACTTTCCGGCCTGGGAAGCACACAGCGCCACACACAAGCGCCATGCGAAGTTTAAATATTTCCGCCGCCAGTTTATTTTTTTACAGAGATCAAATACAGAGAGATTTTTTTTTGGTATCCTTTTTTTCATACGCTACATCACAATAATATGTTTACTTGATGATTCTACGCAGGACAAAATGTTCATTAACATCGTCCGAAATGCTAATCAAAGCAAAGATCTATCGTTAAAGTTTGGCAGCTCGTTGAAAATAGTGCGGGCGGGCGTTTTGGCATTAATTAATTTGAGCATGGATTGATTAAATAAACGAATTGCGTTTTAATGAGAGCGAAGCATGCAAGCGTCCGGCATACATAGCCCACCACTCGATGAGAGGGTGCAGATTGGCGAAAGATCGATTAAAATCAAATGATTAATTGGTGCAGAAGGCGACACAAGTCTATGTATATGTTGCCGCATGTAGCCTAAAACAAGAGATTTCGAAAATTTTCAATTACAAATAATAACGGTAGCTCCTTTTTCACTCTTAGCACTTCCTTTTCCTTTAGGAGCCCTATCCGAAAACAGCCCAACCTCATAACCTGAACTAATGTGACCTACACCTGTACTGTTATGCTCAGGAAGAAAGCCGAGAGTAAGAGGATTCAAATAATTTAATTTTTTTGTAAGATTATGAATATATTTCCTTAAAATTTTCAGAAATTCTTGTTTACATTATACGGATGACACTCTCTAGAAGATTGATAGAAAAATACTGTTGAATTTTCTACCAGTAAATTATTATTATATCGAAAGAGAATACGCAATATATCCTATAATTTCCATACGGTATTATTCCTCAGCGTGGCAGTATAGTTATGTATTT